CGAGCGCCATAAAACCTCTACTGATTCAAACAAGAAAGACATAGTTCCCAGACAAATACCTCCTGTAGATGTCCTGTCTGCGGGTGCTCCTCTTGGTCGTCCAGGTGGTCCTTAAGGAACAATCCAGTATACACGCCACTCCAACATCATCACACTCAAACTCAAAATCAGCAGGAAGCTCTACCCACACCATTCTACCCCTGCAACCTCCCCCCCCCCTTCCCCCCAAAAAAGAAAAACCTACACTGCCCCCTCAACTACCTCCCGCCATGGCCATGGCAATATCTACAAAATCCTACTCTGAACCTAGCCTATCCACCTAGCTCCCTATCAACCTATCTGCCTATCTCTACAGCCCCACTGCGTCACTTCAAGCCTGAGTGTGATATACTGAAATCGTAGAAGCAGACCACTTTGATACTTGTTGGACCAGAAAAGTGAACAAACCGTCTGATGTCACCAAACTTTGAACTGAAGGAAAGGGATCGAATTGTCTTGTCATCTTTCTAGTTCAGTGATCTCATATAGTGAAGCAGCTTCTGTACAATATCTGAAACAGTACATAAAACAAAGAATTTTTCTGTCGTTGAGTCCATGTTTTTACAGCCCTACCCGCACAATTTCACACAAGCTTGAGAAATCAAAGTGCACATTCAGTTGTTATAGTTGCCAGTTATCGTTCGCTGGTGTAACTGACAGAAATCCATTTCAGGGTAGCTGTGGCAGTATATTCGTCTGGCTGGTTGTCTAAGAGTGAGTGGAAGGTCCATGCTGTCTGGGCAGGGTGTCAGCTTCTTGGCTGACTGTCAGCTGTTGGCTTCTCATGTGGGTGCTGGCTTTCTGTGAAAAATAAATTTGAATTCAAATCAGTTATTAATTAAACTTTACAGTTTAAGCAAAGAAAAGCACATCCAAGGCAATAACAATTATCAAATTGTAAGGGAAAAGTACGACAGACAGGCACAAACTACAGGGGAAAGGAAACGAGAAGGTTCTGTCATTGACACCCCTCACCCATCGACAATAACAAAAGGCAATATATTGGGGGTTGGGGTTTTTTTTGTAAAAAGTGTTTTACGGCGCTCACAACTGCATAAGGTTATATGAGCAAGCGGGACACGTTAAAACTTTTTCAGCTGGTAGGAAATTTTGAAATTTGCCCCGGTGGCGGTCAAAGCCTACTCTTATCGATTGTGAACCACCAAGGGATCTTTAACGTTCGCAACTTGCACACGGGCCTTCCAAGATTTTTCGCCCTTGTCCGAGAAGGCTAGGTGCAGGGGTGTGGCTGAAAGACAGTAAGAAGGAGCCAGGGAGAAGCAGTAGAAAGGCTGCAGAAAGAGTCAGAAGCCCAGAGAAGGGGGCAAAGGAGGTGAGGGGGTGGGGCAGAAAGAGGAGACGAAGGCAGACGATAGAACATTGCTAGAGAGCAGGCAATGAGGTGAAACGAGACAATTTTAGAGAATAATTTTTTTGGTCGCTACCCGGACTCGAATGAGCGGCCAACACCCTAACCTCTAGGTCAAGAAAGCCCCCATATTGGTTTTTGATTGAGTATTATGTTCTATATCTCTATAGAGAAAATCTGTTCATGTATTTGACACATACAGATTTTCCAAACATCAACTTTTCTTACTACTGATTAAAAGGATGGACAAACATTTACAAAAATCTGTCTGCAAAATTATGAGTTAAAAATGTTCACTTTTTTACAACTTTGATACTATGCATTTCTTGTAGACGAAATATTTGCAAAACAAAGATCTTTCCTGGGTCAATAATATTAACAATGACTTCCTGTTGGAGCATTTAAAATATCAAATACTGGTATAAGCGTATCTTTGGATTCACCGCATTCTATCAAAATAAGCCAAACAGTAGAAGAAACAAATTGTAGCATGTTATAAAGAAAGGACATTTTTTTATCCTTCTAGGAGATGTTCTTCAAATGGTTGTGTATTTTTGACCAATTAAAACTTCCATTATTCCAATATTAGTATTAGTGTGACAAGAAAAAGATGAATGCAACCTATTGAAGGAGAGGTTCCACCTTCAGTGACACGAAGCAACCAATATCATAAATTGTTCTCAGTTGAATTGATTTAACAAGCAAATATTCAGGTCTTAGGTTAATTTTAGACTCATTACTCGACATGACCAGGGGCATTTTTTGAGAGACACCTAAATACAAACATGTAATTTGAAATTGAACTCAAAACTCACCAATTATTGGTACTTTTTAATTTCTAAAGTAGTAATTGAGTCCTAATAGGGGAGGTCTGTTAATAGGGAGAGAGAGAGAGAGAGAGAGAGAGAGAGAGAGAGAGAGAGAGAGAGAGGGGGGGTGGTGGTTGCAGGATGTGGAATACTGAAAATAGAAATTACTAAATCTGAAGGAACTAGGAGGAAGGGGTTAAGGGGGGGGGGTGCAGTTTGAGTAGAAAGAGTGCACAGGAAATGCAAGTGAGAGAGAAACAACGGAACTAGCCCAAAATAGTG